TGGGTAAAAGTCCAAGCACAATGCATCTGCAGTTTAGTAGACGCTAATGTCTTGCGCTCTGTGCACCGGCTGATAAGGGCGCCGATTTCGTTTTGGCTCACGTAACGTGAGTCTTACAGTGTCGAGGAGTCGCCTCAGTTTATGGTGAATAAGCTTCTTCAAATTTAGTTCCCGCAATTTGATTATTTACTTTTGAAGTGTTATTTTTTCTTCATAGGGTTCGCGATTTTATGCTGTCTATTCCATCAATATTTAACAGAGCCGGAAGGCCGCGGGTTCGATTCCCGATGAAGTCTTTGGATTTTTTAAAATTTACCTAATCCTTCCAGCCGCATTATGACCCTGAGGTCAACTCAACCCCTAACAGAAATGAATACCAGGAATCTTCCCGGGGGTAAAGGGCAGCCGTCGCGTAAGGCTGATAACTTTACTGCCATCTGTGAGACGACTGTCTAGAAAATGTGGAAGCCTCGACGTCTCACAGCCCTATAGGTCTGCACGGCCTCTAACAGGAATAGCTTTACTTTTTACTTAACAGATTTTGATACACACTATTCATCAATTGATGTTAGCCATCACACAAATGAAATGCCAATATTCCGCTGAAGTAATTGCTGAATTCTATAAGTGAAGCTTGTAATAAATAAACAGCAATATCAGAGAGTGTAATAGTACTTTAATGCTAATTAAATGCAAATGAATGCATTAGCAGGATAAAGGCGCCTTGATCGTTGGAACAAAATAAGCCATCATTTCACAGTCTCTGGAATCTGATCTGACGGCTACATAAGTCCTATCTGTCTTTCAGGTCGGCCTTGGCTCCACAGGCCTTGTATTAACTAGCATTTGTTCAGAACGTAAAAAGGAATAAATAATTATACGTTCTTTGCTCAAAACGGTAAAAAATAAAAGCATAATTGGAGTTATGTCTGTCTTCGTGTTTCATCTCCGAAAATACATGATGAATTTGCGTGAAACCTACTTGTACTACTGAACTACACAAACTTCTGGAAATTTTTTATTTCGGTTTTTGTGTACTATAGCATAAATCCCCTATGTTCTACATGCAGTTCGAATCGAATTTATATAGTCCCTCAAAAACGCCACATCGTATGAAATGTCGATACGTAATACATATTGTAGATACCATTAATGACTACACATTCTGGAACATTTTTCTGCATAACGTAACGTATATATATATATATATATATATATATATATATATATATAAATAACATATAAATTCGGTTCGAGGTGTATGGGCATGACCGTTGAGTTCGGCCTTCTGTGCCGTTAAACATCGGCTGAAATTCCCTCGTTTATAAGAAATAAAGGTGATCATGGATTTATGTCACTTTCTTTGCGTATTAGTTTCGTGCCGCCTCTGTGGTCTAGCAGTCACAGTTCCTGGCTACAGATCCAGAGGTCCAGTTTCCATTCCCGACGCTACCAGATTTCCTGAGAAGTAGTGGGCCTGGAACGGGGTCCACTCAGCCTCGTGAGGATAACTGAGGAGCTATTTCAAGGAAGTAGCGGCTTCAGACTAGAAAACCGAAATTAACGGCCGTGGGGATTTTTTTTTATTGTGAGATATAAGAATTTGGCGTCGGGCTGGAGGGCCCATTCTGCCAATTACAAGCTCAAGTTAGAATTTGTAACATGCTTACAAACAGGTTCAGAGTTAAAGCATATTTACATTGAGTTTACAAGTAGGCTTAATATGAAACAGGTTTATAGCATGCTGATGAGTAGGTCTAAACTGAAATACGTGGCTAAGTGAAGGCAGTTGTTGGTGGAGTAGATACAGTTTGTATCTAATTTATGTAGCAAGGACTAAGGTATGTTCATTAAATGGTGATGTCGATGCGGGTTAGGTAGCGAGCAATCGATGCAATAATCCCAGGGTCCATGTCCCTGAGGAGGGGTTCGATCTTGTACGGGGGGTATTCATTGCGCTTAGTCAGGTTCCTGAACATGTCTTCTCGTGCCGCATCAATCGTTTGCATTGCCATAAGATGTGATTGGGAAATTCGATATTTTCTCCGCAGTCGCAAATCGCGTCGGGAACAATATTGAGTCTATGGAGGTGGGTTTTCAGGCAGTAGTGCCCGGCTCGAAGTCTGTTGAGCGTGACGATGGGCTTCCGGTGGAGCTTAATCTTGTTGAACCAGGGGTAAGGTACATCAGCGAAGTAATTATCGAAGTAATATTTTCCTTTGTGTGCTCCCGATGAGTAGCCCCATGCGTAAAAATCCTTTAACATTTTCTGTTTCCAACAGGCTCTAAGGTCGGTCCAGGGTAATAATAGTTGGGAGTCTATGCCTTTGTAAACACTCTCTTTTGCCGCCATGTCGGCCCGTTCGTTGTGGGTGATTCCAATGTGGGCAGGTATCCAGTAGAAGTGAACGATTTTACCCTTTTCTTCAAGCATGAGGAGTTGCTCTTTAATGGTAAGTATTAGATGACTACATTGTTTCAGTGGGGAGCCAGAGCGTAGGGCTTCCAAAACACTTTTGGAGTCTGAGAAAAGACTGAAGTGTGTGTTGGGACTCTGTTTTATCATTTCTAGCGTCGATATAATAGCCATAGCTTCCGCTGTGAAGACTGAGGCGTACTTGGATGTTCTATATAGGTTCGCCGTAGAGTTTGTAGAAGTCATGGAGGCAAAACATACAAAACGGCAACCTTCCGTTTTGGATCCATCTGTGAAAAAACAACGGTTGGAACCCTCGAGTTCCTTAACCAGCGAGTCGATCATGGCCTTCCCTTGTGGTGATGAGCTGGCAGCTAGGCCCTCGGCAAATGACACCCGGGCCTGATGAAAGGAAGTCTTGTAGGGGTAACTGTATATCAGGGGTTTATCGGAGTGGGAAATAAGGTGATGCAGAGGTTCAATTTCCTTGTAGCACGTGAGAATTAAGGGCTCTTGTCCAGTGTGAATCCTGGTGGGATGCATCCTAGTGTCTGCTAGTTGTGATATACGGGCTAGTAGCGGATGATTTGGGAGGGTGTCGATTCTGGAGATGTCGTTGACGCGACACCCTCTATCCGCAAAATCGGTACTAACTTCGCCGACAAGCGGCGGTCGCTCGGTCGGTATAGTTCGTTTGCGGACTAAAACAGCAGAATTTATTTTTTTTTTTTAGTTTCATGCTTGAATACCTTCCTTCTTCCGTTTATCCCGTGATGTTAAAGTTAACTATATAACCGAAAGCAGCAGCGTGTCCTCTGAATGATGGCTAATGTCACGGATTGTACATCGAGTATCAGGAGAACTCATCAGGTAGTTCAACACACAAAGACATACACATTAACGTACGCTGTCATGCAACGCCGTTTTCATGCTTTTCACGAAATTATTGACCCCTAGGTTATGTAAACATGCTTTCTATACTTCATATTATAGCGCTGAATGTTCAACTGGAAAACTGTATAAGTAAGCGGTTTTCGCCTAATCTTAAGATATTATTTCGACGTTTGCTTGGAGGGAAAGAACAAAACAACAAAACAGCGAAAACCTTATAAGGGGTCTTCTTGCTGGGATTCAGGACCCAAAACTCCCTCACAGGGGAACAAAACAAATGCAAAGTTCCTTCCCTCACGACCTGCGTGAGAAAAGCATAGAGTATGGTGGTCATACGTGGCCGTCAGTTCATCCCACAATCCAATCCTATCTTAGGAGAATGACATGTGACTCCATATACGTAGTTAGTAAGGTAAGGGGCGAATACAAACCATATAAACATTCCGGGACGTGAATGATTGGCGAGAGCAGCTAAATCTGCCAAACGACGAAATGACACCGGTTCGTCCTATGCCTTGCTCCACTTACCGCCAGACAATTAATCGAAAGTGGGTATGCCATCACCCCCTTCCCTCGCCGATATCCTTCCTTGTTTGGTAACAAGGGTTACGGCATTCGTACAAGTCTGTGGTAATTGTTGATAAATTGCGTTCAGTGGGGGGGGGGGACTTCGAGACGCGTGTTTGTAAAAGGTCTCTTTTACCCTAATCCCTGTGAGATGCCACTCTGCACGGCATCAGAGATTTTCGTGTGAGCTGATCCTCATATGAAGTTGTGTGAGTGTTACAAGCGACCGGAACCGCTGTTATATAGTCCATCTTGGGATATCTGTGGGTTACAACTGTTCGTTTAGTGAGTGTCCCTGGATACTTCAGCATGACAATGCGTTTTTCATATAAGTGTCATGGCGGAAACTGGATTCAGTCATGTGTCCAACCTGTTTCCGTTTCCCATTCGCTCAGGGCTGTTGAACCGTGTAGAGTGGAATTTCTCACATGACGCATGGATGCAACCTTCTTTGAGGATATGAACACCTTTACCCAGATATTAACGAAATTATTATCTTTAAACTTTAATAACTGAATTAATTCTACATCAAATATAAAGATCCAGTTCGTATTTCACAGGAAACATTACATCTCCTTTATAAAGACAAACCGGTTAATGTTGTTGAGAGACAGAGTCGCTGTTCATTGTGAGAACCATACGGAACACATAAATACACTTTATGGGCAGAATGTACAGTTGTATGTTGAAGCAAATGTTACATATAGAAACCAATGGGATTTAAAGGGTTACTCAATATAATTCAGAATAGTAAACTTAATTGTACTTATCATGTCGAAAGAAAAACCCTCCAAAAAGAAGCCAATGGACTGTACTGGTAGATGCACAAGATCCATTGGACGCAGGGTGTTAAGCTTGTGGAACCAGTTTGTCTTATTGAGGAGTGAAAAAATCGAAATGTTGAAACCTTGATAATGATGATGATCATGAACACTTGTTTTTCCCCTTGAATCGACGCTTGATGCCTCTTTCGCTTGCGGATTCTCGTCAAGATCATCATTTTGTCGAGGTCGTACAAAGTTCCAGAGAAAGTAGTAACAAGATCTCGGGATCTGAAGGTCGCTGGAAGAAGGAGGCATTTCCTTTTGCATGAAACGTGTTTGCAAAGGTTGACAAAGTAAATATATTTCAGATCACGTACATGTACTTTATTTAAAATAAAATATATTTCCGTTTCAATTTTTTTTAAATCAAAATGTATATTGAACTTATGAGGTGTACATGAGCACTCTTTGATAACAGCTTGCGAGTTCTGACCATTTTCTTTCAGAATGAATTGCTGATGTCAACACAAAAGAATGAAATCGCTTAATAATAGAAGGGTTCTGATGAAGAAGGACGGAGAACGAAGTGCAAGTAACCTGTTAGTTCAAGAGGTCTGTTTTTTCTCCATAAACCACAAGGAGGTCTCGCGGAACGACTAAGTATAAGGAGTGCAATAATTGTAAGAATCATTAATAATTGTGAAGAAATTGTCAGGGACATAATTTTGATTTGATACCGTCTGGAAATTTGAATCAGTTCATGTATATGAAAGAAGTCAGACTTTAAAAGATTATGGTAATTTAAAAACAAATTTGGGAATATTTATACGTAGACGTGTTCAACTTAACGGCTACTTAGAGACATGATTTTTTTATATCCTTGAGAGCATTTGAAGCTGGAATTTGCTGCTTAAAATCTATTATATTGGACCTAAGCTACCGATAAATCGTGCAAGTCATTTTAAATAACAAACACAGAGATCGAGAGAAGTCTTGAAAATGAGAGGCAAATATTTATAATTTCAAGTGAAATAACTTGCTCTTGAATATATATAGATACGTATGTGGAACTATGCAAAATAATTTAGGCAATGGCACACTACAGCAGTAAGATAATGTAAAGTCAGTCTGCAGAAATATGGAGGTTATTCAAATAATGAAAACCAGAAATACATGAGGCACTTAAGTCTTAAGGTCTGTAATATAGTTTGCAAAATCGCAGATTCAACGATTGAAGACAGGTTGCTCAGGTTAGCGTAGAATTATAGACCTAAACTGCAAACAATAATAAGAACTAGATTAATGAGGCTTTAGAGAGATCATTCTATGGTTCGCTCAGACTTTGCTACCTTACTTATCTCAATATGCACTGTAAAGTATTCAAGTGCTTATTTCTTTTAAATGAAATGTACACATACCCCACAAAATATGAGTTACTAATAGCCTAGAGTGCGAAACTAAGTATTTACAGTTAAATCAATTAAGAAGGCTGTGGTAATTTATAAGAAAACTTGTTTAACTAATTCTGCTTTGCTAGTTCAGAATTTTGACGACAAAATTTTCCATCACGTCACAGTACACAGCATATGGCCATGGATAATTTTAAGGTATTGTATAACCATTTTCATGAGGAACTATGGCATAAAAAAAAAGTTTCCTTCTTAAAGGCGGAGATCCAAATTACGGCCTCCAGGAGTGTTTGTTTGTCTGTGTCTTAGAGATATGTTTCTGTGAGGAAACCTTTGTAAGAGAAAGCGATTAGAGCTTGAATTGATAACGTAACTTTAGCGACTCTTCTTCGTTTAATTGTAACATGTTGACAAACTTTAAATTTGCCTCTGTGTTGATTCGTGGAATATTCATCCCTTCACAAACACTTTTTTTCTGTGTCACAACATTTAAACACCAGGAAAATGTATTTTTAGTCATTCCGATGGATCGTTTGCAACAGTTTCCCCGCGTCTAAATAGTGTGAGCATGAAAAAGTAGAATAATGATTGACAATTTCGGGGTTTCCTGTAACAGCCGCTTTAATACACTGCAGGTATCTTCAATGCAATTCATCTGGCTACAGGAACAAATCTGTATTTAATATTGTCACGTGTATGAGTGATGCTCGACGGGGTTTTGGATGGGATGTTGGATTTATTGATCACTTTAACACCCAACTCGTGACAACACTTAATTATAGTAGCTCCATCGCTAATGTCCACACTTTACAAAACACTAGAATGTATTGTCTAGTTGTTGCCTAGTAACGGCTCCAACATATCTATTTCTCTGCCTCTATGTTCAAGTCTTGCATAAATGGCTGCTCCCTTCAAACTGATTAACTTCCAAATGTGTCTCAGTCATAATATCTCGGCGCGGACAGAGAGAAATTACAGTTCATCTATTATCGTTCAAATCGTTTCTCTATACTCACACCCATATGGACGTACGGTATAGAACTGTGGGGCTGCAGTAAGCCATCCAACACCAAAATCCTACAAACATTCCAGTCAAGAACACTACGTTACATAACTAACGCTCCATGGTTCGTATCAAATCAAACTCTCCACAGAGATCTTGGAGTTTCTTATATAAATGAGGCCATAAACAAACAAGCCAACAAATACAGAAACCGCACTGTGGACCATGAAAACCAACTAACAAAAGAACTCGCCGCCCAACCCTTAGTGAACAGAAGACTCAAACGTCAATGGCCAGAAGACCTCTTCTAGGTACCGGAGGATAATCCATCAGTGGATGGTACTCCCTACAAGCCACGCAACGCCCTAACATTTGCTTATTACTCTGTATTAGTACGTTCTGAGTAGATTGTAAATATCATAAAATAAATAAATAAAAAATCTTTTCCGTCGGAAACGCGAAGCGCGTTACTCAGTAAGAGCTCTGGTATATTTGCTTAGCTCGCGGTCATTGCGTAGTAACGGCTCTACACGCTGTAATATCTGTGGACCTCTTAGGCGCAAATGAAAGTCATATGAATTCTAAATGGATAGACCGATTATATAATTATTAGGTGAGTAAGTTTCAGGTTGAATGACAGGCAGACCTCGGCTCTATCGGTACCGAGAGACAAAACATTTTTCCCATTTCAAGAGGATGTGACTTGCTATAACAAATAATGTATAATTTTAATTCAATTCCAACTGAACCAGAATCTTATTAGTCTATAATAATAATAATAATAATAATAATAATAATAATAATACATTCCATCTCGTCTTCAGAAGTATGAATCTGAGCGATCAGTTACTAGAGAACATTTATTTTAACTGAAATTTTGAAAAATTCATGATTAAATAAAGACATTTTTCAAATCTCCTCACGATATAAGAAAATTTACGTCTACAATTAGAAGTGAAAGTTATTTTTGAGACGCCTAATATTAAGTGTGGATGAGATCTTGGAAATTATGATCACCAGTTCACCTGAGAATGGTTGCCGGGCTATCAGAATTCACAATTATTCATTGTAATATACTTTCAGGGTTTCACATTCCGTAGCTGATGTGAATACATTTGCAGGGCAATCAGACTATAGTTCATGTCGTCAGTCGCAGAGTGTCTAGATGTATCTAAGTTGAGATGACTTGGCTTGCTACATAGAGGTAAACTGACCTATCATGGGACTTTAAGAACACCGAAGCTATTTAATTTTCACTCCCTTGTGTTACTGATGTTTAGATGTAGAGACCCAACTTCACAGACGTACCAACGTCTGAGTAGACATGCGTTTTTAAACCCATAAGAGTTAATTTGTTAAAGACTGGTAAACAAATAGACTATAAAAATATTATTATAATTATATTACTTATATCATTATAACAATAATTTTAAAATCATCGGAATGATGGATGAATTTTCTGTTGGGCGTTTAGAAGCTAGCAGTAGCTTTCCTAGCCCTCTAAGCGCGCGCACACACACACACACACACACACACACACATTTTATTCATCAAGGGTATTTAAGTTAAATCAGTTCCGTTCTATTCTTGGGCGTTGGTTTAAATTTTGAAAACCTTTCCAGTCATTCACAAAATAGCATAATTGATGCACTCACCTTTAAGCAATACGACTGACATATTGATATGACCTTAACACACATGCCTACGTATAATACGTGATTCCAGACACGTATCTTTCAAGTCCTGTAGGCTTGTAACTCATTGCAACGGAGGATGGGCTAATATACTAAATCCTTAGTGATTATGGATTTATTTTATGCAATAATATTTGTTCGTATAACGAACATCTAAGAGATTCAGGCTTCTGTCTTTCACAGTTTGGAACTATCGATCATTAACGCACAATTTTTAGTTAAATATTCTATGCTCATCAGTTCATGCGCATGGCGAATGATAAATATATACCGCCCTCAAAATCTGGAATGACATATGATGATGATGATGATGATGATGATGATGATGGAAGACAAACAGTTAGAGTACCACCTGGCTACTGCACATAACCATCTCTTGCCTGTTCGTAGCTTGTAACACAAATGCTCTCATGCTGTTAGGTGGACTGTTCCTCTGTTTTGGATGTGCTGGAAGCTTCCCTTCGTGACTTGTTTGCCTCAAAATGTTCTATGGCTACGCCCGGGGACGGAATCTTGGATCCGTACGGCTTGAGATCGAGCGACAGCACGTGACCTCTCACTGGTAACCCAGGGGGGAACCCCACGAAGTCATCTGAGTCTTGACCCTGCGAGGAGTAATCTCGAACGTGACTGTAAGATTTTATCGAAGTGGTTCCATCAGGCTGCCTGCTGTGTCTCCTTTCTCCCTGAACGTTGAACTTTGCAGCACCGTGACTTTGGACGAATTTACAGCAGTTTCCATAAGGGATGTTGGATGGTGGTGGCCGTGTCTGCAAGAAGGACCCAGAGTCATCTCCTTTCGAGGGCCCGACTTCATGATCATAATTGTCTTCATCTTCATCTTCGTGTTTATTTAGCCCAGTGCCAGGAGGCTGTCCAAAAATATCTGTAAAGTCATCAGGTTTCTTTGACGTCGTTGGGCCCATAGTATTCTGATCATACTCATATATATCCGGCCAGGGGTCATTTGTCTGACCCGCACCTGTCCCACTAACGTCACTTCCACCAGGCTTCCTTCCTTTGCTACCCTCAGACGAACCGTCGTACTGTCCACTGTCTTCACCGCTGTAATCAGGATGACTTTCCTTTTCGCCTTTTCCAACGGAACCCGCAGTGCCTGTTGCCCCACTCTGTGGTTTACCGCCAGACCCACTTGCTGCTGTATTGATCTCAAAAAGGTCATCGTCTTTGAAAGGGCTGCTACTGGGTATGAATGGGTAAGGCGGGGGATAAGGGTACACAGGGTACCTTTCGTCGGTCTTGCTGCTGATGACTTTGTAGCCAATGTTAGGACCTGCTATGTACTGAGTAGTCCGTTGTACGCCTTTGTCGTCAATGTAAGTGTAGGATCCCTTGACGTGGCCAGTAGCGTCGCTGACTTCTGTTCGTCTCTGGTCAGGTCCAGCTGATGTGAACCGATATGAGCCGTCCTTTCCCCTCAGGATGGATGTGTGACCCCGTAGTGGTTTACTGCTCTTTCTATTGGCCGGCGGGCCCGCGAAGAACACCGACGGACTTAGAGGCGTTGAATCAGGAAATGGAGTCTTCACATGAAACCCGACCTTAGACCCTGCCTCGTATTCGACATTATGGCGTACACCGACGTCGTCTACAAACGTATATCTCCCATTGACATCACCCTTGGAGTCTGAGCTCTCGCTTCGGGAATAGTCTCGAGTCTGGAAGTTGAAGCTGTAGCTGGGGTCCTCGTTTGGGTCGAAGTACGTGCTGTAAGAAGGATTGTACTGCGGGGAGTCCGGGGTGACAGGGGGGTTATACGGAATCTTTGTCTGCGAGAGGTCCATGCGCCTGGCGATATGAGGTCCCCGCACCCGGAACCCACGCTTGCCCGCTGTGTACGTGGTCTGTAAGTCGCCACCTGTCTTCGGATCGCGGTAGCCGTACTGGCCCCTCACTGTGTTGTCAGGCGTGGCGATTGCTCTGTGGTAGTGCTGTCCTGCGTCCCCTACAGGAAAATCGGAAACAGCTTCAGTTCTGTTTACTTCATATTTTATATCCGGGGAGTAAGGGATTCGCTCGACTTCTTGGGCGATGTGTACGAGTTATCTCACGTAAAACACCTTCCTAATACCGATTTATCTGACAAGATCGGTAAAGGTTGGCTGTCCGGTCATCTTTTCAACACGAAAAAGTTGAATTCAGATACAAGTAGTCGGGTGAGTAAAGTTAAGGTATCCCTGTAACAGGCCGTGGAGACCCATAGGGTTGTGAGATGCTGAGGTTCCCACGTTTTCTAGACATTCGGCTCACAGATGGCGGTGAGGTTGTCAGCCTTACGCGCCGGCCGCCCATTACCCCCAAGAAGATTCCTGGTATTCATTTATATTAGAGGCTGAGTCAGTTGAAAAATCCAGTAACCTCATTGAGACTCGAACCCTCGACTTTTCGGCTTGCAGCATAGTACCTCAACTAACTACGCTACCGCGTGCCCTTACAAGTAATTGAGTACTTACACGGGTTCTATACTAAATACAGCATCTTTAGGCATACATGGAAACCGGCTTGGAAAGAATGGGGCCTGTTCTGAAGGTCCGTCCCATAGTCCAGAAATGTAATGGAGAGACTGAGGAAAGTGCCAAAATTTCAATCTTTAATCGAGGAAGGTAGTTAATAACGCGAATACAAGTCTAGAGAGTTACACATACCAGCCTTCATTGTGACACACATGTAAACCTACAAGGAATCGTAAATTGTTTATAAAGGCTCTTAACAAATGTACATTTTCAAAACCCAAGAAAGTAACTTACTGATATGATAACTACCAGGACTAGAGTGAAGTCGCTTCGGTTCTTAGCATTACGGATTAGTGAAACAAAGGAGATAAAGGAGATAAAGACAAAACCGTCAGAAGAAAATAAAAATTTGTATAAACACCCGAAAGTAATATCTGACTGAATGACAGAGTTCAACATAGATCCGCAACAGGAGCATTTCTCGATAACACCAAACTAATTTACATGGGTATGGAAAATTAACTGAGTACTAGATGGAAACCTAAAATCACAGGTAAATTAACAGAACATACGAGAATCTGAAGGGTGCCGCCTTATAGATATAGGATAAAACGGGTTTCGCTTAAAAGACTTCGCAGAACGAACTTGTCAGTTATGAGTTATGCATCGAAAGAAGAATGCGATCTATTAGAATTATCTGAATAAACTGTGTAGAGGAACTCAGTTTGTGTCCATGGACGTGAGAAAATATCTCTAAATTTTATTTACTCCCTCTGAGAGGAAACCAAAACTGACCAACTGTGAGCAAAATAATAAATCAGTCTTCACGTTAGCGATGGCAAATTTTGTAACTTAAGTAATGTATATCCCACATAAAATCGAATCTTTAATTAATCTAGATTACAATTAATCATTACTAAGCTTGGAATAGTGAAATACAATATAAAAGTTTCCATTAAATCAAAGAAATACACGTATATGGGTTTTAGATCGAAATTAAGAATTACAAGAATATTGCCCTAGACAGTTCAACGGACAAAATTAAATTCACCTGTGGCGTAATCAAAGCGATAATCTCCGTTCTGACCCAGATTGAAATCCAACGTCTCCGGCCCACCGCCTCCTGGCGATGGCTTGGGGCGTGCAGGCGTCGCCGTCACGACGTTCATTAGGCAGCAGGTCAACACACATAGTGGCCACCATCGTCCGGCTGAGAAAACCTGCACTCAAAAATACATTAAGATTAAAAATAAATCTTATAAAAATAAAATATTCTGAATGACAATGGCATCTTTTAAAGGGTTCATTGATTGCGTGAATAAAACATCGGCATCTAATAGACGATCATACTGAAAAGCGATAGGCCTAATAGAATCTACCTTAACTCCTCAGTCGGTCGAATGGCAACGAAAGGGTTAGCACAGGCTGATTACAAGAGCACAGTAAAGCTACGTGGACGTAACAAAGTATTTTCTTGAAGGATCAGTATTAGAATCCTTCAGAACTTCACCAACCCTCAAGAGTCTGTGTATTCTGTATATGAAACCCGTCTTCAAAAAATAGATTTGTGTTCGCAGAAAATGATCACACATACAGTATATGTATCTTTTGAAGAGAGGTTTCCTGCTACGGACAGAATAAACCAAATCCTACAATTATTAAGACTTGCTGTATACTGCTGCCAACACATTGCTGTCCAGACTTTTGCAATGAGGTGAAAGTACAGGGGATTTCAGTTAGTATGTGTAGCCATTTATCTGGGGCAAATCCTGAAGAACAAAATAAAATCGATAATGTAACAGGAGTTTGCTTCGCTTATTTGGGACACCGTGCCGCTTAATTCTGCCGGTTGCTGCCGCGTGATGCACTTGTGATGAATATATCAGTGAGTCACTGACTCAGCAAAAATGAGGACCTAGCTAGAGTTGCTCTCAGTCCTGCAGTGACAGTGTTTGTGAGTAGGCTGTGGCTTGTGCAGCGATTGTTTTCATTTAAATTTTTAGATCCCCACAGAAATGCCTAGGAGAGAGAACACTCGCTCACAAAATTGTCTTATTTGAACAAATTGAAGACCAACTCCCTAACACCAGCCATAGTCACCTGGCGGAGATAACTGGAGTGCGCGCATTGCACAGGAACAAGAGGAACTGCGAGAGATGAACAGACAATGCGCCGCGGACAACAGAGAACTTCCCAAAATCGGAAGCGTGAAGGTAAGGATCCAGAGGTTGAAGAGGTTCTCAGTCAGCAATCCTCTTTCATAAGTGGACGAGGTGTACGTGTCGGTGGTCCAATGGTGAAAAGAAAGTCAGAGGAATTAGCTAAGACGCTGAATCTTCATGATTGCAAAGCAACAGGTTATTGGTTGTCCCGATAGAACTGCAGGATTGCTATAAAATTCAAGAAGGCACACGGCTAGAAGGGCAAGCTGATATGACTGCTGAACAAAGCTGCCAGATTTATTTCAGAAATTTTGCGCAGATGATATTTGTAATACAGATGAAACAGGTTTACTTCATCGTGCCTCGCCGGACGGTTCCCTAAGATATAAACACGTAGTTCTATTCGGTTCAAAGAAAATAATGGATCGTATAAATATGTGTTGTTCAAACTTTTCAGGAATTAATAAACCGAAGCTGCTTACTAGAAAAGGGGCTAATTCCCCTTGCTTTAAGGGGACTATTATGGATATCTTACCAGTTATGTACTGTGCTAACAAAAATGCGAGGATGACATCTGAAATTTTTAAGAAATGGCTAATGATTTGAGACATGGATTTCTAACGGTAATCGAGGACAATTGGCTGGTTCTTGACAACTACACTTCACACCCTCATTGAATTCTTTGAAAAGTATCCAACTGGAATTTCTGTACCCCTTAACCACATCTCTGGTACAGCCAATGGACATGGGAATCATAAAATTGAAGACCTTGTATATCGCAAAGCTGTCAAACTACATCCTTGAAGAAATTAAAAGAAATCTACTGACAAAATCTTCAACAGCCAAGAAGGTCAGTGCCAGGATTGACCTTTTACAAGCACAATTTATTGCCGATGGCGAAGAAAAAATACTAAGACCACTCAGAAGAGCTTTGCTGACTGTAGTTTTATACGCTCAGACTTGGAGATACCGAATAAGGCCCATAGTTAATATAACGTCATACTAGATATGCACCACGTCGGAAAATACGAAGAGGTTTTATGCTCGACAATGGTCTCCAGAGTTATAATGAAAATTATGATTTGGGGGGGGGGGGAAGCAACTGTTGAACAAATTTCTGTGAAACATCAGAAGACATCACAGAACGGGAAAGTGGTGAGGATGTGGCGACCAGTCATTAACGAGTGACTAATGAGGATGCTAATAAATTTATTTGTCGAGTTTATTTCATGCAGGAAAGCAATTGAGGCAGTAGAAACCTGCACTGATGTTCACTTGCAGTCAGTGAAGGGAACACGGCAGGGTACACTCAAATAATTCATCCGCGATCACTAACTGTTAAGAAGCGTGTGTCTATTGAATACATAAAGAATAAATTTTGTTTCTAAGATAAATATGTTTCTGTAATTTGAGCCTATTGTTTCAGCTCATCTAAAGTCAGTATTTTTGTTACTCAATAAACGGAAAGCTTAACTTCTCTCTTACGAACATGCTGTATACCTTTTAAACCTTTAACTGAAACTTCGCATATTTGGGAGAGCCGCTTAATTGGGGCAAAGTACGCTAATCCTGATGTGTCCCAAATAACCGGGATCCACTGTATATTACTTCCCAGTTCCTGGGTACTGTTTGAATAATAATTCCCAGTTTTTTAATTGCACAAGTTGCCTTTAAAATATTCTAATTTTTATGCATAAACAGTTTAATGAATTTGCTTTTTTTAAGGACAGAATGTGTGGTAAATGTGTTTCTGGAAAACCGTGGTTTTCTTGTCCATTTCCATTACTGTATATAGTTAGTCTTTATCAAACATGTGCTTAGGTGTAGTAATTAGTTGTTATGTGCTCTTAGCTGATGGTTTTATTATTTTATAAAAATGTATGATAACAGGTTTTACAAAGTATTCCCAGTCCCTAAGATAGAGAACTGCTTGTTTTGTATTTTTACTAATTAATCATATATCTGGTTGCCAGGCAATAATTAGGAATGAATCTAGTATTGAATATTGTTCATTTTTCAAAGTTTTGGCTACTTATCTTATAATATGTTAATATACCTCATACTGTGATATTAAGGAAAGACACCATATCACGGACGAAAAACACGTGCTTCAGTTGATCAAAGATCACGAAATGTGACGGCAAAACACACGTATGCAAAGCATGTGTACTCCGCTTATCAATTTCGCCACTTTTCTTGTGTCAATCACAGAAACTAAATTCATCCAGGATTATTGGGATTTCTACTACTGTCCGTCATCCGGTACTCCGTCGTCAGCTGAGAGATGGGAGACACCTATTCAGGTCCGTTAAAAAGAGCTAATTTCAGTCATGAGGTTTGAAGGATACTGGACAAACTACAAGAAAAATATGTCTGTCAACCTTAATGCAATAATTGACACAAGTTTGTCTGCAGTAAATGGCATAAAATTCGATGTGGCATACGGACTCTCGCAGAAAAACTTTGCAGATCGCTTTTCCATTCTTCCGTAACATACAAACAATGCAAGATTGTTCACGTACAATGGCGTCACATATTACTGACGAATTTTTTTATACTAACTGAAAAGCATTTCCCAGAATTACGTGTATATGCAAACCAATATGCCGTCCCTTATCTTTTATCAATATTCATTTTCGTTTTATTTAAAGACACTATCAGTATTTCACACTATGTATTGTTGAATGATAGAATGATTAGTAAATAATAAATCTAAAATAAGCCGTCGTGGCCTGCTTCGAAGTGTGGCTCCGACATTTGTCTGCAGAGACCAAAAGCTTCACTCAGGATGGCTTGACTTCCCGAATACAAAGTATCTGTGAACCAATTCACGAAATTTCAGTATTCATTCATTCATTCATTCATTCATCAGTAATTTGTCAAGACGACAGGCCCACAGTCTCTTCCAAAACAGTTCCTCCACTTAATGCGATCTAGAGCTTTTTCCTTAAAACGAGAATATCCTCTTCTGTCCCCAAGGTTATCCAGCATCTTCTTACGTCTTCTTCCTCGTCTTCTGGTTACTTCTATCCGCCCCACTATCTTTCCTTCAATAACTTCTTTTAGAAGGCAGTTACCGCGTAAGATATGACCAATCCAATTAGCCTTCCGTTTTCTTATTTCGTGTAGGATATTCCTCTGCTCACTGACTCTAAATAACACTTCTTCATTTCTCACATAATCGGTCCAACTGATCTTCTCCACCCTTCTCCAACACCACATTTCGAAACTTTCCAGGTGTTTCTGATCTACTTTCAGTATAGCTCGGTATTAATTTCGGGCCATCAAAGGACATTAGTACATCTCATTCTAATCCTTTCTTGCCATTAATAACATCAACAAGATGGCCTTGCGAACGTTGGAGTTGTAAACATCCTGAAATCCCGTGTGACAATAGATAGTTCTAAAAATTCGGAACGTCTCTTTGAAGTCAGAGATTTGTGAAGCAGTAAAAGGAATATGATCAATTCGATATTAATAATTTTAATAGAAATGACTAATTAGTCGCCTGAACTTTAATCCTCTTAACTCATCTGTACTTCCCCCTTTAAATTACCCATAATTTCAATGTAATTATAGGCGTATATTAGGAATATATGCGCATTATCCTTTGCATCTTCTATTATACATCCTTGGCACAAAGTGCATGATATAAATCGTCGTAACAGGGTCGTGTCCTTTAATCATTCAGTATGTTTCATCTCTGATAATCCAAGCGAATTTTGATTAAATTTGATACTATCTGTGTGCATTAAAATTATTAGTTACGTTTAATTTTGGCCCACGATAATCCACTATAACCGCTGCGTTGGATAAAACTCGAACAGTGTTTTATCGTGTTTCAAAAAATTATACATCATTAATAAATTTAATATGTAGAGAGCTACCTCCTTTTATATGACGCTGTATTGCCTGATAGAATTTCACTGATGTTCCTGATTATGCGGTGACACGTCATAGAAGATAATATGCTTCATAGTCATCGCTATGGGAGCCTCAACTCTAACTTCTATACACAATCATAAAATATACACCTCGTTAAGTTCTGGGTCTTTTACTTGGAATGTTTCAACTTATGATTTATATTTGTCGACATGCAAACAGAAATTATTCGTTACTCTGCCCAAAGTGGTGTCCCTTGTGTCAGTGGTTTTGTGAAAAGGAACATTTTTCTAGATCAATTTCGGCACTTGAATATCAGCGTCAATGAAGTATATAAAATAACAATTTTTGTTTACATGTTGATAAATACATTCCAACTCTTAGCCTTTTCTTTGCTGAATACTACAGAAACAAACCTCCTTCCATTAGTGTATTTTCATAGTAATCCATAAATTTCTACTATTGAAGGGCCACAGATAACTAGCTCCAACTCTAGATAGATAAATGGTAGAAGTTTCCTTCACTCACTCCTCAAAGGAGAATTTTTATAAGCTAGATCTCTCATCTGGAGCATAAGAAGTGTTAACACACGAATTCTGAATAGCTTGTACGGTCTCCGATATGCACACGCGCCCAAACGAAGAACAGACTTACCAGTTCCATCTTCATCGTGTTTATGTTGAGAAGGAGCATAGTATGCTCGCCACACCGTAATAGATAACTGAACTAATCTCACAGGTGGTTTCTTCAAAGGGTTATATATCTGCTTGACCAGTAGCAAACCGCTCACCATCCGGATAATAATGATAGCGCCGGATATCCGCCATACTGCCATTTTCAACCAATCGGAGCTGAGGAATCTCCTCAAAGGATGAGATCTAAGTTGTGTTTTGATAAACAAAGGTCTCGGTAATACGCAGAAAGATGCACATCAAAGATAAAGCATCTTCACACTTGCATAACTGGCAAAAGCTACTGCTGTGGTGATAATCGAAGACCCCACTGTTACGCTGAATAGATGCGTATAGCAGTTCTGGCTAACTTCCAAGACAAATATCCTAACCGCAGCCTTCTAAATCCTTTATTTGTCTGGAAATGTGCTGATGATATTCTTCTGGGCAAAGGGAGTGTATAATACTTCGTTTCGATGACGATAATTTTAAGGGTGCTTTATGGGGAAAATAAAATTTGACGTGAATTTTTCAGTGGAATGTGATTAAGAATGTCCACAATTGCAGAGTGACGGTGCGAAGTTTTGAGTTTATATGTTGCGAATTCAGTGTTGTAGGGATATATAATACTCGAATATCTACGCAAAGAATGGATTACGAGTTTGAATAATTGTTACTTTATTTATGACCTAGTCATATAAACTGAATGTAGGTGCGTAATTTCTTTCAATAACTGTCAGAGTTGGGGCTGAGGTGCACATCCTACTTTCACATAAATTAAAAACGTAATCATTGAACCTTTACAGAACTTGACGGCCGTTACATAACCAGCTTCTATTCCTGATTTACAAATTAGCTTATTGAGACAATTGATCTTCCCTGTCCTTCCTAACGTTATGTGCCAAAGTTTATATACACGTAATCCATAAGCTCAAGCGCAACTTTCTTAACCGGAAGCATCTAGTATCCTCAGCTATTACTTTGGTTACACAGGAAAAGAGCCTGAAACCTCTGCAGCAAGAGATCAATATTTGCTATCAGTAAGTCTATAATGGCCAGGTGAATCAATTTCACATCCTCACATACTACTTCTGTAAGAATTTTTAATGTTATCTTCGCATATACCAGGGGTCTCCAAACTTTTCGATCCGCGGGCCACATTAGGTAATTCAGCACTTTCAACGGGCCGGATGAAATGAGAAATTAATAACTCTAGGTATATGAGTTTTATTGAAAGCACAGAATTTCATAAACTAAATACAAAGTACGTGAGAATAAATTATCGTATATTAATGACAACAGAGTGTAGCAGCAAATGCTCATATTTTCATCACAAATTATAATAAAACAATTAATGGGAATGATGGAACTCTTTTTGCATTCTTAAAATATGATTAAATTGAGGCTCAAATTTTGAAACGCTAATCACAAGTAGCGACTTTAAATGTTCATCGGATAAATTTGCCCTGTATTTCGACTTGATCTACTTCGTCTGGGAAAAAGTTTGTTTACACAGATATGTCGTCCCAAAAATGGAGATAAATTTACAAGCAAATTTCTTTAAATTTGGAAATTGCTCAGAGTTCAGAAATTTATAAAATTCAATCAAATTTCCTTCGTTGTATTTGTCTTTAATATGATAATTTTCCTGAAGTTCAATAATTTCCATTTGAATTTGACTTGGGACATCTGCAGCATCACAGTCAAACGGATTTTGAAACAATCTAATTTCCTGAGCACTGGCATCCAAATCAGCAAATCGCTTCCGAAATTGTTCTTTCAAATCTGAAATGACCAAATTTGCAAACGAGGAAGGAAATTCTGCTTCACCCTTTTTATGCAACTCTGCACAGTATAGCACATGAACGAAGTTATAATTTTTCACTTGGCTTTCCAGAAGTATCAACTTTGCTCTGAATGCCTTGATAAGTGCAAATAAATTACAGACTAAGTTATTTTCACCCTGCAACTTTAAATTCAAATGGTTCATATGGTTCACCAGATCAGCAAAAAATGCTAATTTCCAAAGCCACTCGGTATCTGATAAAAGTGGGTCGTGGTTGTTTTCCTCGGTAATAAATATATCAATTTCATTCCTGACCTGAAAGAAGCGCGAAAGAGCTTTCCACAGCTAAGCCATCGAACTGCAGTATAATATGTCAGGTCAATAAGCTCGGAATCACATTTACCAATGGAAAATCAGTTCAATTGGCGCATTTCTGCACAATTCTTTCGCGGGCCGGATAAAATCACATCGCGGGCCGTAGTTTGGAGACCCTTGGCATATACGATTACATTTTCGAAGTGATTTCTTCGTTTCAGGTACTCTGACTAAAACTTTTGATATAATTCGTTAAGTTTTGGTGAGTGGTAAGAGCAGTCCGCGTTTCCGTAGCCGCAGTTTCCAGTAAGACACCGGTTTAGGCAACCGCGTATTTTTCAGGAACATAACTTCAATTAATGGGCAGTCATTTATGTATGGCGGTAGTTGAAAGAGGGCGCAGTAGTATCAAGGATATACATTTTGCACCTCCGTCGTAACATAGGTACACAGATCCTTCGTAGTAGATCTGCTCGTCGAATGACGAGTTTTTTCGAACATGGAGTTGAAGGTTCTAGTTCCGTAAAGGCAGGATGTGTCTTGGCCAGCTGAGTATGAATTATTCCAAGAAAGGCTCGTAACATAGTGTTACTTATTTCTTATTTATATGATTACAAAATATGAACTGCTTCACTTTATGATTCACGAGATAAATATCTGCCGAACACAGTTCTCGTGTTTAGTCGCTCTAAATGTCTTAATGAACAATGAGATTGGGGGTTAGAATTCCGCTGGATGCACGGATGTATATCCGCTATTTTGGTCTTGTGTTCTGTACAGGCGGAAGCGTGACTGGAGTCATGCCAGATAACTATGGGATTAGTTGTTTTAGAGGAGTTGTTAAGTGTGATCCGAACAGTCTAATGGCCTACTGTGTAATAAAAGGTAAAGTTGTCCCTACGCTTAACTAATTAAGCACTACGCCATGAAAGCGTATGAGAGAGTGGATGTATGGATCCACACTTTCTTGATCTCGGCACTAGCTGGAAGTGAGCGGTCATCTCCACGCCCCGGTCGCTTTACCCCCCGGGGAAAGAGCCTCCGGTATCCAGTGGATAGAAGACTGAGTGGACCCCAGAACAGGTCTAGACGATGTGGAGAAAAGAAATTTCTTGGCCCTACAGGGGCTCGAACTCTGAACACTACGAACTAGCCCGTAGCTAGTTGCTATACTGACTACGCTATCCCGGCTTCTACGTACTGTATGATAGCCGAATAAAATGAAGAAGAAGAAAATAGTTTTTAAATATAATTTAGCACTCAGATAATTCACGTTTTTATTTCGTCCGGCACATCTCTTTATACCAGAGCCGTACAGAGCAGTAATTAGTCCCTCCCGCTAATGCACATAAAGACGACCTTTTCCGTATGGCTGGTTCCAGATTTGAAGTCTCCTTAAAGACACAAGCGAAATAAGGATGAAGTTAAAAACAAGACGTTTTAAGAATCACGTTTGACCGCATCCTGTGTTCCGGTAGATGATCTTCTGTTTTATTTCCACCTTTTATTGCCATTGTTCATTTTCGTCAATGACCTTCAGAACAATAGCTAGAAAAAATACTCGAGTGATTGGCTGATATGCTTTGTTTTCGAAGACTGGTTTAACGTGTCAGTTGAAGCTGTAGTATTGTATGTATAAGATCAATGTCCTCCTTCGGCAGTCAACAGACACCAACATGTATGGAACAAGGTTGGATTCAAGAGGATGTGAGACATCACGTCCGTAGATAAACACAGGAAGGGAGTGAAAAAAAAACGTAGTTGGGCATATTTGGTGAACATTAGAAGTCACGTTATGTGTAATGGGTTTCAGAAATTCGTCGTTACACTTTTTGCATTGGTTATATCGCTGGTTCGTCAACGAGATGTTTAGGTTAAGTAATATTTTTCTGCGCCATCTTTGTTTGTTCATATTACTTTTGTTATTAATGATTACGAAATTTTTAGAATTCACGTGAAATTTATTATATTCAGATAAATGCGAAAATAAAAGAAAACGAGAGGAGATAACAAGGTACAAAACAGTTCTTTGTTCGCGTGCGCACACACTCAGTGCCGTACACTTCCTAGCGACCTTTCCATCCCGTGATTTAATACCTGTAATTGCTTTTTTACACACGCGGAAGAATACAAAATTGAGGAAACTGTGAACTCTTTTGAGGACACGCGTTAGTCGACCTCACCGTCAGTAATAACCAAAATAAGGAAGGAGTAAAATGGCGATTTCGAACTTCAGAATCATTCCCGTCCGAAGATGAAAATATGGTCGCTGTACATTCAATTTTGTGGAGATTTTCACTAATCACGAAACAAGGAAGCTGAAAAATGTGTCCTAATTTATCCGAGTTTTGTCAATTCAATGGCCGGTCACGATAGTCGAGCGGTCTAACGCATGTACTTTCTTCGTTCGCTCGGAGTCCGGGATCGTGGGTTCGAATCCCACTTAATGCATGGATTTTTGTTAAGTGTATTCGTTCTCCTGTGTTTATGTTGTCTTGTGTTCAGGTGGCGGCCTTGCGACGGTCCAGTCATTCGCCCAAGGAGTCCTACCGGGTGCGAAATGATTAAAAAGAAAAAGAAAAAACCTCGACACCCGTGTAAGGGTATAAGAGGAACGGATAAAAGAAAAATCAGTTCAATGGCCACGTACTTCCGAATATTTAAGACAATAAAATTTGTGTATTCTGTGATATAATGCCATTCAGTCCATTGAAACCAAACCGATGTTTCGAGGTGCGTATAGCCTCCATCTTTAGGGCCGAAGAGTAATCCAAGCAAGATATCAGAATGAAACAGCTCTCCTTGTTGCCTACTTCATGTTGGTTTCCATCTCGGAGGTTAATTCACTTTCAACGAATTATGTGGGACTGGACCCCAGAAGACAGAACGCTTCAAACCCATCTGTGTGAGACTCTCAAATCCTGCATAATCCAAGACATCGTTGCATATGGAGATATGCGAGAATATGTAGGAGGTTTAATAAAAAAAATCGGAGTCATTTCTTTCCATATGATGAACGTATTAAGGATAATTCCACACTCCCCCTTCAGTTTCCTTATAAC